TCGATTGAAGCTAGACAACTACAGGAAAGCTGGAAGCACTGGACGGCCGTTTCGCCCTAGTTTGGGACTCCTCAGCAGTGCGCATCTACGATTCTGCCCCCGCGAGATTCGAACCCAGGACCTATCATTTTCGCGCGCGAGCGCTTAACCATCAAACCACTTCTGAGGACTCCCATACTAGAACGAAACGGCCATCCAGTACTTCCACGTTTTTCATGGTGTTCTAGCCTCAATTTACTCATGACTTCGACTACTGGTATTACAAATATATTAATCTATCGATAATACTTCAAATGCTTTTCATAACATTTTGGTCGATTCTGCATCTCTGTAAACCCTATATTTCAATATATAAAAATATATATCTGATGTGCCTTTGGTAAAAGTTGTTTATGTCTTGACTAATACTCTTAGCCTTTTTTGTTTTATATTACAAAACCAAACTAGGAAAACTGATAATATATATTTTTGAAAACCCTTCAAATATACATATGTGAAACTTTGAAAAACTTCGCGTTTTTTCACACTTATACCATTTACATAATTTTTATTTGACTGAATTACTTCGAATGACATTAACTTATTTATAGATGTAAAATATACAGTAACAATGATTTATTAAGGCTAAAAGACTATCAGTGAAGTAATATTAGACAACTTATGTGTTAGGATGACTACAGTCGTCAGGGTGATATTATTTTAAATTAAAATAAGCTAATAGTGTGTGAATGATTTTTTTATTGAAATTATATTTAAGAGTATCACACAAGTTTCCGTTAACAATAAGCACAAAACTGGACTACGCATATTCTTAAAACAAATAAATTCAACTGCTCCTCAAGAGAAATCAATAATTTTCAAGAAAATTAATTCTTTCTTTATAATAGAAAAGTAATAGAAAGTAAGGCATTTTTATTAAAATAACTACATACAGTGATTTATATTTCATCCAGTAGGCATAATTGTCTTCTACTCTAATTTGTCGAATTCAATGAAATGGTTTAGTATCTTCAAAGAAGTACAATATCATTAATGTAAAAGCAAAAGCAGCAGTTTTTACATAAACAAATAACTTATAAATTAGTTAATTTGTTAATCGTTTCATGCATCATTTATTCAGAATCAATTATATACTTAAAAATAGATCGTTACAATTATAATAGGCAATCAATTTAGAACTAATCTATTATTCTGTTTCTTTTTTTTTTGTTTTTACAATCTACCTTTTCCTATGTTAGAATAGAAAAACATGCTGTTAGTTTACATAATCCAGATGAAATATAATGATTAGGAATGAATTAACTTAATTCAGCTTACATATTATCTTATTGTATGTTATTCAATCGGACATATATCAGATATATTCATTTTATTTTCTTCTTGTTACAATTCACTATAATTTCCTGATATCGAGTTATACTGACAGAAATCAGTCAGGATAGTAAATAAAATGGTAAGTTTCATTTAATGACAAATATGAAAAGTTCCAAACAAGACGAAACTCGCGTTCTGGATTCCATCTTCACTATCAAATATTTTGTTCAAATCAGTAAACATTATTTTAGTTATTTAATGATAATAAGCAGAAATCTTTAACTTAGATTTCATGCTAGTTGACAATTGTCTTTAGAATATGTCTACAATCTTGAAGGAATTGATGATCACCGTTGAATTCCAACCTGAATCAGACATTGTCTAAACTATTGGCCACACCGTAACCTAATTAATAAAATTAGATCATTACTGTGAACTGGATAAATGTGATATTGCTTACTACTTAGTAGTTAATCTATCTAAGAAGTGTTTACTAGTTATTAAACTTCTAACTTTGTTGTTAGGTGTGTAATTCGAGAGTTCATACTGATATCTAATCTTCCTATACACGAGTATAACATTATTCGAGTGGACAGACTGGGAGTGAAAGTTGTTCACTATTAGTTTCTAAACTTTCTTTTCTAGATTTTTATTCTGTGGAACATTTTATTTTATCATTGATTTCAAAAATGAAAAAAATTTTAACTAACTGCTACTTAATTTTGTATATTATACTATCTTTACCACAAAAAATCATTTCACCTACAATATATGATCTATGTAAAATAAATTTATTCAATTTAATGTTACTATGGGAATGAAACCACTTGCCAACTTTTTTTCTTAAACTTATTTATGTCCTTTAACGTTACTATGGAAGTTATAAGATGAAAATTATAGAAAGCACAGCTGCACATACACATATTTATATAGAAGTGAATAGGGAGATATAAATGTTACATAAGGAAATGGGATTTAATTAAGTTATATAACTATCGTATAAGTTCAATAAGTAGTTACACATATAGTAAAAAACTCCTTAGTAAAAGTGCTTTTCAGTATATATATATATGAAAAGTAATTCATGGAAAGGTGGAACTTAAACACAGGAAATTATAGTCCAATTGGGTTTATATTACCCTTTAATAACACTCTTGCTTGAAATTTAATCTACTGTTTTGAGTAAATCTCAGGTGATTGTATAAATATTCATTTTCTAAGATAGGATCATTTATAAACTTGGGCTTTATATTTTTCAAACCAGTTTTCATAACTATATTTGAGGTGGTGTTTGGTTAGAAAATCCAAATTTCATTCTGGTTGAAACATATCAGCCAAATGTATCTGTATCTCAGTCTGTAATTTACACTGAGACTCAGAGTAACTACTTGAAACGATTGATTATCACTATATTACTGAATCATGAAAGTCATACAATTTGTCCAAGTGGAACGTTGTTCGCTTTTATTTGTGAAGGTTAATGTTGTCTTATTGTTGATACTCAACATTTCATTCATCCAATAAAAATTAAACAAAATCAGTTTTTACTGTCTACAATGGAAAACTATTGTAGAAAATTCATAGAAAACCATCAATATTTCTGATATCCTCAAAACTGAATATTTGTAATGCACGATAGCAGAGTTAATTAGCTTACTTCAAACCTCTACATTTACTTGGCTAACACTAAGTTGTAATGCGACTGATAATTGAGTATACAATGACTTCCTAATATGTTCATAAAAAAAAGATCACTTTAGTTAAAGATACCAAACTTGAAGGTAAATGTCTGATTCAAAGTAAAACATGTATATATAACATTGATATTGATATTAGAAAATGATGGTCGGCGGTCTATGCTCCATTAGGTCTAATAGGCTTGAGTAAGTAAGTAATGAATCAATCAACCAATTTGAATCATGTTTTTCTGTCATTCTCCAATTGATCACAAAAACATAACTGTTTTCTTTATGCTTTAAAATTTTGTAAACTTCAATTTTTATTGACTAGTTTAACATTGAAATATCTTAATTCTTTATAATCAATAATAATATGAAGTATGTGTTAACAAAAAAAAAATAAACAAAGAAAATAATTTATATTCACAATTTCAATGTGATAAACTTAGAATTTTTTTCTTTTTTTTCTTTAATTTTAATAAATTTGTACTACATGACTGTGTACATTTAACTAAATCATAATCAATAATCTACTTTGAATATTTGAAAAAGAAGAAGAAAAGAAAAAAAGAACTTGGCTGCCTTTCTTGAACTAGTGTTTTAATTTACTAATAGCTAATATAAGTTTTAAAGAAAAAAACATATTTTCCTTAAACATTTGAGTTATCCAATCAAATCACAATCGATACATTATTACGTAACATATTTTTTGAAAAAAGGTTGATCTATATAGCTGGTTAAATTAAAAAATAATATAACGGATATAATCAGTAACTTTATAGAATTACATTTAAATTAATATGAAAAAAATTAGTTTATTTATTCCTATACTAAAAATTTCTTTTGTTTGTTTTTCCTACATCAAATTTAATTTATTTTGTAGAATTGTAATAAATGTAAACAACTTACAGTTTCAATTCACTTAGTGTTGTTTTACTTGTATCTTCCCATTGTTAGTTAGGACTGAAATTAATCAGTCTCATGTTGGCATATGTACATTCTGTGCGGATGGCCTCGATATTAGCTTTAAGTCACAAGCTTTTTGAGAAAAGGTGGATAGTGGCTAGCAGTGGGATCTAGGATGCGAGTAGATAAGTGGATAACGCGATGATGTTTGAAGCGAACGGTACTGGGTTCGAATACCGGAGTGTACATCAGTTTACCAAAACTACTAAATACTTTCAATTTAATTTTAGATGGACTTTTAACATTACATTTCAAGTAATTCTGTTATGATTTGAACAGTAGACTTCAGATGAGTAGTAGACTTATGTTAGGTATTTGTACACACTAAATTAAAATAGGTAGTAATATTATCAACTGTCAGGTTTGTCAAGCAAATTTCTATGGTTTGCGAAATTTTAAAGCAGTCTGAGTGTTTAATCAATCTATGGGAATAAGTACACGATATTGGTCATTAAACGTTTTGCGTACTTCAGTATCTCGTTTAAGTGATACCAATCATGCGATATTATATATCTTTCTTTTAGAGTGCATATATCTTTATACATTCAACTGACGTCATAAATCAAAATGATATATAAATATACTGCATTTTACATGATTTATTTAGAGTTAGAATTGTATAAACTGAATCAAATAGTATTTAATATCATTTAATCAATAACTTACAATGTAAACAAACATTTATTATTCCGTACAATTAAGCTTCTACAACTAACAGATATAACTGAGTAACAAAGTTATATTGTTCCTCCTTCTCAAGATATGAATATAAGTCACAGACGGCTGAAATAAATCAATTTCATATATCATTTTCATCCCAATGGATTTAATCAATTACTCAACATATCACGTTGAAACTATTAAGCTTCATGTCACCAAAATCTGATCTAATCACACAATTTTAAACAAAGATTACTTGAACATTTATTTATTCATATTGAATCAACTCATGTTTTTTTTCTGTTTTAATTTTGAGTAATTAAAACATAAATTATATTAAACGTACAATTTATATTTCTAATCTTTTCGTTTTCTCAACAGAAAATCAACCAAAATCAAAAACAATAACTTCAATATTAAGTAAAAAGAAGACAGATCAACCAAAACAGATTTTGATTGTTCAACCGACAACAAATAATAATAAATCAAAGAATAAAGGAAAATCATTGATTTGTGGATGTGTTAGTAGAAAATCGAAAAACAGATAACACAACTTATGAAAATCAATCAACCAAATAAATAAATAAATAATCCAATTTGTATGTGTGTTTTTTTTTTGATTAACAAAAAATTTTTTTTCTTCATTTTCCTCACATCGATTCGATAGTAAAAAAATAAAGCATGATGAACGATATTTGAAAACAATTTTTAATTTCCATGGAAATAAATAAATAATAATGGCCGTACTTGGAAACAATTTGTTCTTTCACAAAATGTTAGACAATTTTAATCATTTAGTTTGATGAAATTAACTCTATCAATCATTTAAATGTTTTGTGAATGATTTAATTTAAATAATTAAAAAAGAATTTACTTAGATACCAATACATACATACTAAAATATGGTTTAAGCTCCATTTATTTCAATTCAATGTTTTATAAATTTAATACAAATAACAATCGATAATTGAATTTCTATATATTTCTGTTTTTCTTTTGGCAACGAATAAATAAATGAATATCTACCGTATATTAAATTATAAATATTAACACATTGACTTTTAATTGATATCGAAAATCGATAAAATGTTTATAATTTAGAATAAAATAATAAAACAATAACTATTTTAAATTTACTGTAACTTAATACGTTTTTATTATTTTTTTTCTCTCTCTCACTCTCTCTCTCTCACACACTCTTTCTCTTCCTCTCCTCATTTAAATAATTTTTTTTTCATTTTAGTCTTTTCATTATCTCTTATTCAGTTAACTAACATTTGGTTTTGTTTTTCAATTATTCATCATATAACTAAGAGTCTTTTTCTCTTTTTTTATTTTTCATGTTCATAAAATAAAATAAAACAGAACAAAACAAAAAAAGAAAGGAAAACAGTATTAATATTATGTCATCCTATTTGAGAGAAAGAACAAAATGAGTAAATAATAATATTTCAAAGCTGTAAGATATTTACTTGTAAATCAATGATATATGATAGTTTACTTTTGAATAATTGATTATTTGATTGTTTATTTATTCTTTTATGAAATTTTCTTTTTTTTCGATTTTAATCATTTATTTCGCTCGACTAAAACAAAAAAAAGAAAAAAATAGAAAAAGAATGAATCAGTCAATCAATCATTTAGACAAAATTATCCAATCAATTATTCAATTATTGTGTAACATTTAAAATGATTTAATGTTACTATTCAATGTAGTTTCTTTACCACTGATTATTTGTGCACTATTTTTTAATATGATTAACGCTGGAAATATAGTTATCGTGTCATTATGAGGCTAATTTTAATGCCATGTAATAAACATTTCGTGATATTTGCGTGATTTTATGTGTTAAACAAAAACGAAGTGACTCTGTATGAATGTAAGTGAATTATAGGTCTCATTACCATGGTTTGACTTGATCATTTAGAATAAATTGAAGATTGGGTAGATTGTTATAAATAAATAATATATTTGTAATATTCTTGTTGTCCCGTTGTACTATTTAAACTTGGACTAACTTTGAATTAATTATTAGAAATGATGGAGAACATTTGTAGCTCAGGTGGATGAAGTTTATGGTGATGATGATGATGTCGTTCAGAAGAACGATGAAAGCTCCGCAACCAAATCATCCAGCACAGAGAACAAAATTCCACTAAGATTTGATTATTTGTTCTCTGAAGAAATGTCGTACACTGTGTCACGAAATGTCAGAAAATTTAATTTTTCTATCGATTGGGATATTACAAATATATTATTTATTTGTAAGTGAATTATGTTTTACCAGAAATAACAATCTATTTCCTAATGATTTACTGTCTATTTTTAAGGATAAAAATGGATTAATTTTAATATTTGTCTGTTGGCTGATCAATAGCATTTATTAATTTTGTTATAAACGAAATTAAAGAGATTGATTTTGATTCATAAAGTTTTACAATCCTGACACGATTGATCACCTAGTGGGTTGTTTCAACTACCGTACAGTTCTGGAAACAATTCATAGATACAAATTATTCATCTGAGAAATCAAACTCTAAAGTCTTCCTTAAGATAGTTGAGTTTTGAGCAACATGAAAGATATAAAATTTCTTATTTGAATACTAGCTCAGCAGTGAATAAGTTTCTCAACTACCAAGTTATTTTACATTCATCGATAAATTCAACTTGTTAATAAATGTTACCTTACATTAGAAAACTAGGTAGTGTCGAATAGTTTGAATGCAAATGTCAACAAATATTTAGCGATCTCTTATGCCAATATAATTTTTCTATTAAACATCTGGTTTTTGCCGATTTTGTTTGCAGGTAAACCTGCAGTTATACGTCAAAAATATTTATGTACCTTGATGTATGATGAAACCTCTAAATATTGAAAATAGAATCATCAAAAGTTGTATCTATTCAGGAAGCTCTATAGATAATTCATGAATGAAACTGGTGAAAATAAACTTCTTATTACTCACTTGAGTTATCATAAAAATTATAGTCTAATTCTAAAACTGAGTAATTGTCTACATCAAATTCCCCTTTGAAATCAGTTTACTAATCACTTTCCTCCAAAATATAATGCGAATTAAGATACGAAGTAACTTTGGTTAAGTATATTTGTGATCTCTAAGAATAATTTCATAGATCTGCTGCAAGGTATCAGCGAGAATTGTTATGCCATCACGTTTCACAGTAGAGTTGTCGATGTCATGTTGACAAATTAGGTTGAAAGAACGATCCAATTCATAACATCGAGACTTCTAACTAAGGACTTCACCGAAGCGATTACAACATGAATGCAAACCTGATTATCATAACATCATGAAAATAATCTTCATTCAACACTTCATGAAAATTTCCTATACAACAATGGCTAAAAATATAATCATCTATCTCCTTGGAGCAAATAATTACAATTTATTCTACTGCCTTAATGCTGATATGTTAATTTGTTCTCAAGGTTACGGTCGTTAATATCGATAAACGGTTGAAAAATAACCAGTAAAACAGCAATTAATATCTTTTAACTAGTGATTTTTACACAGTCTTAATGAACTTTGGTTAACATCTTAATTGAAAATAGCACACAGTATTGGTACTAAACTCTGATTATATAATCGGGATAATCTTGATTCAAAGCGTTTTAAAACCTATTTCTCTTATCTTAATATATGTTTAACATGTGCTTAATAAAACATAAATACTAATAGTTCAGTGCTACGATCAGAACAGAGATGATGTGAGAAATAAAACCTTGACCAATTCAGCTGTTTGGCAATGTGAAATTTATAATCATTCCTCCATCTGAAGTAAAGGACACACTTTGTAATCGACTTTCGACCGTCTGAATTGTGCACTGGGTTTCGTATCAGTTAAATTCATCGCCTTAACACACGTGTTTAGCAGGTAGTTGATAGCTATATGGGCGACTATCCTGAAAAGATAGGTAAATCACGTAAAGTATAGTTTAAGCTTGATCATTTTAGATAACTGTCTATATGAAGATTATTATTATTATTATTATTATTATTATTATTATTATTATTTGAATACATAGATATTGATACAAGGAAGCACCAAATACATATACGCCACACAAATCTCATTTGATTTGTGCGAGGACCGTGATGCTGCCTGGGTGCCCAGACCGAAGCAGGTGGTTTACTTAGGGGCCCATACCCGGAGCCTTAGACCTAAAAATCTGATTCACAAGGCAGTGGAGCATCGTAAGGAGATGCAGTCCTATGGTAGCCGGTGAACAACGATTGGTTCATACGCCATTTGTTCCCTCAGGATATTGGAGCCCATGTACACTATTGGTTCGGGATCAGGGTTTTCCAACTCCCCTAAGTGAAGTCTCCATGTCCACCAACCCGGATAAAGCGCCGGACATCCGCTTTTTGTCCTCTCAATTTCGTGAACAACACCCCTGTCACGTGAAGGCAGTGAGTAGGACTTCCCTGGCAGAGGCTATTTACCCGTGGCCATGTGAGAGCATTTTGAAAGAGAGAGCGGACTCTCGGCCATACCAGGGCATTTGGGGGGGGCGTCTATATAAAGAAATATAAATTAGTAACGTACCTTCTGGGAAAATAGCTGCATCATTTACACGTTAATCAAACCTAGAATCCGGAGTGAAGACAAGTAGCCTAAGCTCCTGACGTCGTTGGAAGGAACAGTGCATGAAGTAATAAGTAAATAATATTTATAACAACTATCCCCCAACCAATTCGCTTATGGTCAAATTTTTCTAAGCCTTTTTGCTAACTTAACATACAATGTTATTCGAACAGTAACAACTCACATATTTGTTTCTACTATTATGAGCACTACCATATCTGTATAAATGTGTACTCTTGATCACATGAAGGCCTACGCACATATCTCTCTCTAGCTTAAATGTTAATATCTTAGGTATCTCTTGATGAGCCATTCCCTTCCATATGTATATATGTACTTGGATCCTATCACTAGCATTTGCCTTGCCTAGCTGAGTCTTATTCGATTTGACTATAAATTCGCCTCTGTATTTGCTGGCATACACACGCCTTCACCTCTCTGATTGGTATTCGCTCTATAACCTTATAGCCTCGTGATCTGTGCTCGCCGCTAATTAATTGTAGTTGCCTCTTCTTATTGTCTACTGATTTCAAACACCGTTAAGATTTTTATGATAACGCTTATCAAGGTGATTGGTTAACCAAGCAAAGTCACTACATATTTTTAAGTGACTGCCAGTATCTTATGTTCATGAGAAATTTTGTCTACAACAAACTATTTCATTTTAAAGAATTCAATACAAACTAATGTCTTGACTCTTTACTTTCTTTGGTTGCCTGAATTATAATTTACTCTTCCCAACGGACTGAGAATTGTGACTCAAATTTGTAATTGTTTATTCGGTAAATATCCAGACTGGTACAACAAGAATCCAAAACATGCATATTCACTAAAAAATTGAGAAGTAACTTTGCAAAGAAACAAAGGAGAAAAAACACAGTGGAAGACTGCAGTGATTTACTCACATTTTTTATTTCAAAGAGGCTGAGTACATGCCATACCTACAAACACTGATTACCATCTGGTGGTGTGAGATTAGGATTGATTATGCACCATTTCACTGTACAACAATGAGATCCGTATACTTAATGACAAAATATCTCTCTTCGGGTGACAGATCCACATTGACACCTAAAATCAGTGGTGGTGAGACTGGGCAGTCATGCACAATCCAAGTACTCCATTGAAACAATGAAGAGAGTTGGTTGCAAACGTCACTCAAGTGGAGGTATTTCTTTACAGAAACTTTACAATGCTGTAAAGTGAGAGTAGTATCTTTAAATAATGAGCGAAATATCATTCACGATGGATGTATCCATATGACAAAAGACTGATCACTGGACGTTGAATTGTTTGCCTAATTTAATCAGGGTCACAGATGACTAGCGCTTACTGATAAATTATCAACATCCCATGGTTTATGCATTAATGAGCACTGTCTGCATTTCTTTAGTCCATTACTCGACTACCCAATCCTTCCATCGAAAATTTTTTCAGTTCTCTACGAATATTATTAAAGTAGAACAACCTGGTTATCTAATCAAGAGAGGCGATCATTGCATACCGTGACTCTGTTGTAAGATTATTTAAGGTAATTAAAAACACATCATCCTGTGGTGTTTGAATGAACTAATGATTCCTTTGTACTTGTTGAATGTTTGATTTCGAATTCTAAATATAGTACGATCGTTAGTGTTTGTGTAGTACTTCTTGATTCAATTGCGTTATCTCTGGGATTCTTAGTTCACACTATAATTCAATTACTCCTAATTATCATATTGGCGTCGTGATGGGGCCTGCGATGGAACAGTTAGATATTCATTCAACTTCTGAAGCTTTCGAAGACTATTTGGAAAGGTTTGAAATCTGGAGCATGACCAAGAAAAATGATGAGGATATTAATATTGTGGCACATTTTCTCACATTCATTGGAAAAAAAGCATATAGCTTATTAAAAATTTTGGTTTACCGGAAATGCCCATTTCTCTTCCTTATACAACTCTCAAGGAACTACTTCTAGACTATGCTAAGTATACAAATTTTGAATGCGGTAAAGGGAGATTTCGTAAAATAATTTATGAGGATATAAAAAATTCCACTATATTACGTCGCCCCATCCCAGTGCATACTCAAGGTTGTGCAGTTCACGAGGATGGGCACAAGTTTGGTCAATGTTTGTACTGTGGCAGGTTCCACTCTTTTAATTCATGTAAATTTCGTAATTCTAAGTGCTTTAAATGTGGTGATGTTGGACATATTCAGTCAGTTTGTAATATTACTGTTCATCTTGCTGCAACTAATATTAAGTCTTGTGATTCTGATTCTATTAAGTTGAGTATTTATAATGATCATTTATCTTTATCGACGATTTCAAAAGACAGTTTAGAGTCATATAGCAGTTCAGAGTTAAATGAAACTCAGAATCCTTGCGAGGCAACAATTCCTAATCAATCAACCCATCAGATTTCTCATATTATTGTACCAGATATGATTTTTCCTAATGATTCACATGTTTCTGATGAAATTTCTCACAAATCTGGTGAAAATATTTCGGATGAACCTAATCATGATCGAAAACCTGATGTAGTTTTGATTGATGCTGATTTTTCTAATGATCCTTTGCTCTGCAATGACATTCTTAATAAATTTGAGGAAACCATTTCAGTAGAATCAAATCTTGATGTCATATCAAATATTATTTGTCCTCAT